CTGGTAGCACTACACATAGTCGGTATGACAGATTTCCTAACCTGCAGAGTCGTCAACTTTAACGCTAAATATCTCGGTTCGCGAGGCAGAGCGACACTTTTTTCTGCCAGATTCTTTCGTTTTGTGCAAAAACGCGTCGAATAAGCCTAATTTCATCGAAATCGGAGGTGAGGGAGGTATTCTGAACAATTACCAAAAAATTCATTGTAGACTTTGAAGCCTCATTTTGTGGAAGCCCAAAATAAAAAATTTCATGTTGCCGATGGAAAGTTAAATTACTTGATAACTGTCTTGAAAGTAGCATAAACCAATGTGGAGTATAGTACAAAGAACCAAATATGTCATTACATTTCAAAGCAGCAATTTGACTTTTATATTATTTTTAGTCACACAAAATGCATAATAACAACTTGCTAACATTAATAAGCAGATTTTTCAGGAATTATTTAATTAGTAAAATTTGAATGCCGTTAAATAATGCTTACATATCCTTTTATATTAAACTTAAAAAAAATAGTTATTACACTATGTATATTTTTATTATTTCCAAAAAGAATATATAAACTTTATACTTGTTTTTTACTAACAATTTTCAACTGAATTAAAGCACATATAGGTTAAGAATCAAATCTAGAACATAATGACTATAAGTCGCACATCGATTATTCTTATACAAGTCGCACCTGATTAATAATTCGATATTTTTTATAGACTTACTCAAGCTAAAGGAATATCAAGATGACGAGTAAATACCACCATAGGCAGCGTTTAATACCGAAACATCAAGATTCCTTACGTTTAATATTCTCAGTTTTTACTGCAAACGACATAAGGAACTTGAGTGTAACGAAAATCATAACATCATTATCTTATAATATTCTTGGACATCCACTAAAGGGTGGATTATATGATCCATCTTTAGGTAAAATATTTTATTTTTAATTTGCTATACGTATATATATGGAAGATATCTTAGTCAATTATTAAGTACTTTTCTTTATTTAAAACATGTTATATTTAATTGTTGTTGTCAAAATTTTATCAATAATTCTAATTATAATTAGAGTGTGTCCAGGTCAGGCACGCGCATGCATGCCTGCCTTTTGTATTATTGACTGAAATATATAACAAAAAAGATTGTTAAATTTTTTTATATTTTATACAAGTTTTAATTCACTATATTTAATTTATTGTAGGCACAACAAAAAACAGTTCGGAATTATGCAGCACATGTGGACACAATAATTCCAAATGTCCAGGTCATTTTGGTCATATAGAATTACCAGTACCTGTTGTCAATCCATTATTCCACAGAGCATTGTCTATGTTACTTAAACTGTCATGTTTAAATTGCTTCACGTTACAAGTACCATCGTATATCAAGTTATTGCTGTCCGCAAAATTAAAATTACTGTACCAAGGACAACTCAGCGATCTTGATGGTTTAGATCACGAAGTAACATCCATATTATTGAATATTGAAAAAGAAGAAGAACGAACAGAATATATTCGTAATGTAATTGACACTTATATGCAGAACTTCTTCAATAGAAGTAGATACAGTCAAATCATGCCTCAGAATCCTGAGAATCAAGCTAATATAAAGACTGTCATTATGCAATGGCATGCATATATTGAAAATATACTTAAACAATATGTGAGAACCAATAAAGCTGGGATATGCATGAATTGTCACGATAGTCTTCCAAAAATGTCAACATTGCAAAACAAGATAATGATAAGCAACAAGGAAATTGTAAAGAATTCTAAAGAAGTGCTCTCGTGCCAAGTGGTGCACAAATTGGAAACGATTATGATTATGCCAGATCAATCCAAGGAATACCTACGACAATTATGGAATAATGAAAGAGATTTTCTCAAAATAATTGTACCTTGCTTAGAATTGGTAGATATCGAATATCCTACTGATATATTCTTTTTCGAGGTAATACCTGTGCTACCACCAATCGTGCGGCCGGTAAATTTTCTTAATGGTCAAATGGTCGAACATCCTCAAACTCATATCTATAAAAGCATTATACAGGATTGTTTAATCTTGAGAAATGTTATACAAACTATCCAAGATGGAAATATTGATCACCTACCCCAGGAAGGTCGACTTGTCTTTGAACAAATAAAAGGAACTACAGCAGTTGAAAAGTTGCACAACGCTTGGCAAGCGTTACAAAGCAATGTGGATCACTTGATGGATCGCGATATGAATAAAACGTCAGAATCCATCAATGGTCAAGGCTTGAAACAAATTCTTGAAAAAAAAGAAGGTATCATTAGAATGCATATGATGGGTAAAAGAGTTAATTTTGCCGCACGTACAGTTATTACTCCAGATCCTGATTTGAATATCGATGAAATTGGCATTCCTACCGTGGAATGTTATTGACTTGAGACGATTAGTTTTAAACGGTCCCGATGTTCACCCTGGCGCAGTTATGGTGGAAAATGAAGACGGATCGATACAAGCCATTAATAGTAACGATTGTACGCAGAGGAAAGCTATCGCGAAACGTCTCTTAACAACGAGCGATAGGACCAACGAGTCCTTTATTGGTGTCAAAATAGTACATCGACATCTTCAAAATGGCGATGTATTGCTAATAAATAGACAACCAACATTACATAAACCGAGTATAATGGCTCACAAAGCGCGTGTTCTCAAGGGTGAAAAAACATTACATCTTCATTATGCTAATTGTAAAGCATACAACGCGGACTTCGATGGAGATGAACTCAACGCTCATTTCCCGCAAAATGAATTGGCTAGAAGTGAAAGTTATAACATAGCTAATGTATCCAACCAATATCTCGTGCCAAAAGATGGGACTCCATTAAGTGGCCTTATACAGGATTACATGGTGTCTGGAGTACGACTAACAACTAGAGGGAGATTTTTTTCAAAGGCCCATTACACGCAATTAGTTTATGCAGCATTGCCAATAATGCAAAAGGACATAATTCTTTTATCGCCAACTATTATTAAACCGAAAATGTTGTGGTCGGGTAAACAAATCCTTTCAACAGTCATCATTAATATTATTCCCTCGCATAAAACACGAATCAATTTGGTCTCTAGCACGAAAATTCGTGCGAAAGAATGGCAAGCAGAGATACCACGACGTTGGAAATGTGGAACAGAATTTAAAAATTTGATGACTATGTCGGAAGCAGAAGTTATAATTCGACACGGAGAATTGTTATGTGGGGTACTCGATAAAATGCATTACGGTGCAACTCCTTATGGTCTTATTCATTGTATTTACGAATTATATGGGGCAATATGCGCGAGCGAAATGTTAAGCGCGTTTGGTAGACTATTTCAAATGTTTCTACAGTGCGATGGTTTTACTCTCGGTGTTGAGGACATTCTAATAACTCCTGAAATCAATGAAAAACGTAAAGAGATCATTTCCAATTGTAGAAAAATTGGGGAAACTGTACAAAAATCTGTGGTAAAAGCATCTAACGATACATCTATGAACGAAATTCAAGCTAAAATGGAAGAATCTTATTGGAATAATTCAAAATTTCGCGCGCAAGTTGATCACAAATATAAAAGCACTTTAGACGTTTATACCAATGACATTAACAAAGTTTGTCTGCTGACGGGACTTTTCAAGAAGTTCCCAAATAATAATTTACAGCTTATGGTGCAATCTGGTGCAAAGGGATCTACGGTTAATACTATGCAGATATCATGTTTGCTCGGTCAGAGCGAATTGGAAGGTAAAAGGCCACCGTTGATGATCAGTGGAAAAAGTTTATCAAGTTTTCCAGCCTACGATCCAACACCTAGAGCAGGTGGTTTTATCGACGGCAGATTTATGACCGGCATCAAACCCCAGGAATGTTTTTTCCATTGTATGGCAGGACGCGAAGGTCTTATCGATACTGCTGTAAAAACTAGTAGGTCTGGTTACTTACAAAGATGTTTAGTTAAACATCTAGAGGGTTTGATTGTTAGTTACGATGCGACGGTTAGAGACTATGACGGTAGCTTAATTCAGTTTTACTATGGAGAGGATGGTCTCGATGTATCGGGTTCGCGTTTTCTAACAAAGAGTCAAATTGCATTTCTAGTTGATAATAAAAATTCTATTATGGATGCAAAGTTATTGGAATGTCTGAAAAGAAATGACAAAGAGATTGTGAAGATGATAAAAAAAATCAAGAAATGGGAAAGTAAGAATGGTTCCTCGTTGCAAAAGAGGAGGATCAATGAGTTTAGTAAATTCTCTATGGAGAATTCCAATCAGAATGATGTGAAACAAAAAATCATTGATAGTCATAGTGGGAGGAGCAAAGCCGCATTATCGCTTATGAGAAAGTGGACAAGGGCAGAAAAGGAACTGAAAGAGTCATATCGCGCACAATGTACTAGATGTCCCGATCCAATAATATCAAAATACCGGCAAGATGTTGAATTTGGAGTATTATCTGAAAGGATAGAAGGCTTAATGGACGAATACCTTTCTCGTCCAACAAAAATTAAAAAATCTGTTTTGAGAGATTTATTATCCATCAAAGTTATGAAAACAATTTGTCCGCCTGGTGAACCAGTTGGTTTATTAGCAGCACAATCTATTGGTGAACCATCTACTCAAATGACTTTGAATACCTTCCATTTTGCAGGACGTGGAGAAATGAACGTGACCTTAGGTATTCCAAGATTACGTGAAATTTTGATGATAGCGTCAAAAAACATAAAAACTCCAAGTATGGAAATACCATTCCAAAATAACTTGGAAAATCTTGAAAAACAGGCGAAGAAGCTGAGATTAAGATTAACAAAATGCGTTTTACGCGATGTATTAAAAGACATAATAATAAGCAGACGAATGGAGGAAAGTCCACATCGAAGATTGGTACACACTTTAAGAATCAAATATCTTCCTCATAAGTACTATAAAGAAGAGTTTTCCGTTCATCCGCGGGATGTGATTAAATGTACCGAGGAACAATTTTTCAAGAATATATTCAAGGAAATTAAAAAATTTGCCACTATTTCTAAAGTTTTATTAAAGTTACATTTCGAAGGAGAAAAAAGACGAATAAACGAGGATACAGTAATAGATGAAATTGATCCTGACGAAGTTGTACCGGAGAATTCTGGAAACAGAACACGGATGGATTTAGGAGAGATGCACGAGTCATCCGATGAGGAGCAAGCCGCGGAAGACGCCGATGCTACAATGGCTAAATCATTATTGCGTCATCGAGAGAATCAAGAATATGAGGATCCTGAAGAAGACGAAGAAATTGAAGATATTGTATTAAATGATAAGGAGGAAGAAGCAGACGATAATAGTAATGCAAATAGAATTCTCGAGGATAAGGAGGATGATGATGATGACGATGATATTAATAAGAAATTAAATCATAGAAAAAATAACAATAACAAATCTACCAACAGGAAGGATCATGTCTTGGATATGTATGAAAGTGCTATGGATTATGATTATGACGAGAATAAACTATCATGGTGCAAATTCACCTTTTGGGTAAGTGTTTGAGCAAAAATTTCTAGTTACAATTTTTCTATTATTCTACAAAGAAATATTATTCAGATTAACATTCAAATGATTTTAGCCATCACTCACGATATATTAAAATCTATTGTTAAAAAATAATGATATATTTTATTGTGAAATAAAAGTGAGCGAGAAAAAGGCCCCTCCTCTCTAGCATCCCTATTACAAAAACTTTTCATTTCTTTTTTACCTACCTAATATATAATTCTAATTTCTTTTTATTTACTTGATATAATTACAATTTAAAATTAGGAAAGTCCACCTGATATTACATATAATTTCCAGTTTTCTTCACATAATTTTTCGGAATTTCTATATAAATTTCTCAACTCTTCAGAATTTCTGTATACTTTTATAACTTTTTTTTATAAACTTCTCTTATTAGATTAGATTTTTTAAATACAAATTAGAACACTTTTCAGAAAAGCTGAAAAAGTCTACATTTTGGTTAGAATTCTAGTATAAAATCACGAACATCTTTTTTAGAATTCTTCATACGATATGTGAATTTTGGAATATAGTATTCTAAGATTTCTCATTCTATAATTTAAAAAAAAGCTTACAAAATCTAAGGCTGGTATTGATAGTCGATTTTTACATTTAAGATTTATACAATTGCGTAAACGTAGACGTAAGTGATCATGAAATGTTGTAAAGCGCAGTTTTACTTGCTATTATCGATTGTAAAAAAGCATGTTGCGAAAGATGATTCAATTTTATCTGTCACGCGTCCGCGCTGTTATGTGTTGTTAAATTTTAAACAAGCATATAATAATAATTTATAAATTCGATTTCATAATATAATAGCAGTAACAACAGCAAAAACACTGTCTATCCATCATGGTGAATAATCAGCACTGTTGTTATCGAAACTGCATGAAATCTGATTAGTTGTCGTAATCTTATAGTTACGACATATCTTTATTCGATTGTAGATCAATATGTTGTACAACATTATACAATATTTATGCGCATGGTCTACAATGGGCAGTAGTAACAATAGTGGATGAGACTGTAAGAGTAAGAAATTGCAGATTAATCACAGTCGAATGTGAGAAGAATAATCGATTGTGATTGATCAATTTCTTACTTGTTACGGTCTCATCGTCCACTACTGCTATTGCCATTGTAGACCACGCATTAATGCGTCGTCTACAATGGCAGTATCAGTAATGGATGAGGCTGTAAGAGTAAGAAATTAACCAATCAGTCGATTATTCTTCTTACATTCAACTGTAATTGATCAATTTGTTACTCTTACAGTCTCATCCATTACTGATACTGCCATTGTATAGACGACACATTAATACGTGCAGGTCTATAATAGGCAGTAGCAGTAGGTAATGGATTAAGGAGTAGGCATAGAAATCAATCAATCATGATCGAACGTGAGAAGGCTAATTAACTATGATTTCTACGCCTACTCCTTAATCCACTACTGTTACTGTTCAGTGTAGATCACGTAACTACTACTGCTACTCCCATAACCTTACGTCTATGTTTAAGCAATTGTAGACTCTTGTAGACCTCGGCTTGACACATCTATCTTTTTCAGTTACCACTTAAAACAATCAGATTGGATTTGCCAACAATAATCAAGAATGCTGCGAATAAAACTGTCTTATGGGAAACAAAATGTATTAAGAAAGCTTTTACATTTCAAAACAGTAAAGGCGAAACAATTCTCAAAACAGATGGTCTAAATATAGTGGTAAATGCATATTATAAGCAATTTAAATATGAGTAAAATATATTTTTCTACTCTTTGTATTCTTTTCATTGCAGGAAATGTTCAAATATGATAACATACTTGATTTAAATAAATTATATTCTAACGACATTTATAATATTTCTCAAACATATGGAATTGAAGCCGCAAATCGAGTTATTGTAAGAGAAATTAAAGATGTCTTCAAGATGTATGGCATCACTGTTGATTTGAGACATCTGTCCTTAATCGCAGATTATATGACCTTCGGTGGTACATTTAAACCACTTAGTCGAAAAGGAATGGAGAATTCCGCTTCACCATTACAGCAAATAAGTTTCGAAAGTTCGCTAGGCTTTTTGAAAACAGCGACATTGCAAGGTGAGTTATATTTAGAAAAAAAGATTATGCAAAAAATTGTTGCCAAATTTTAGAAATATGAAATATTCAAAATATTGCATTCAATATAGTATTAAAAAAAACTTGATACATATGAGTTTTAAAAATATTTATTTTCAATGTAGAACAAAATTATTTAATAATATCATACCCTTCAAAAATGACACAACTCAAAAGATGTAATTTTCGAATTATTATGTATGAGTTAAGTAAAGATTACTCTGAATCATCAAAAGTAAACTAACTCAACTTCAACTTAAATCCACTTACTAAATAATATACTTGTCTATAAGACTACTCCACAACCTTGCTTTAAGATGCCGTATGCCGTAAGTTGTAAGTGACGATATATTGTGTGTGTGTGTGGCCACAGAACTTATATAATACTTTCAAGCCGTAAAACTTGAGTTTTGCTTAAGTCTAACGGTTAAAGCTTAAAGGCTGCACAGAAACAGTTTAAAGACAGACATTATTGTCACTTGATCTCTTTCGACTTATGACTTAAGGCCTCTTAAAGCAAGGTTGCAGACCGAGACTAAGATTTTCAAAGAGATCATAATGTAACACGAGTAAAACATCAGGACACTTCTGGGCACTACCGGGATTCGAACCGAGGCCTACTGGTCTTTGTGTTTCTCCTACTAACAATAAGTAACGACTACTACTGAGTCACATAGCCTCTACGTGGATATTTTTTTCAAATACCGTTTTTTTTCGGTTGCATTAGTGCACACTGAGTGTATATTAAAGCTGTTGTACTCTGTGCGATTTAAATTGTGTAAAAGTAAAATTCAAATATTTCGAATTATAAAATACAGATTTTTTTTAACAGTACGTTAAAATGTATTGAGGATTTCATGGTTTAATCTGTTTTTATACTTATATTAAACATATGTCTTTATGTCAATTTGTGTACGACGGCTTTAACAGTAACATCCACTATAGTGCAGCCAAGAGAAAACGCTATATTTTATTTATACAAAAAATTGAAATTAAAAAATTTTTTTTTAATCTTATATGTGTGTATCACATGCTTATTAAGATGCAATTAAAGATATATATGTCACATCTGAAAATAATATAAAAAATATGAAAATCTCATAATTATTCTATTATTACGTCTGATTGTGAGTATTGTGTAAAATTTAAGTACAATTCTTTTATTGATTTAAGTTATTTAATTTTTTTATTTGTCTTGATTCTTATGTAAAATTGCGTTTTAATATTTATTTGCAATGAAAAAATAATATTAAGAATATGTATCAAATTTTATACATATACTAATGAAAAATAATAATAAATATTCGTGCAAATCTTATTTGTATTCTTACATATTTAAAAGTTATTGACCTAAAACTGCAGCAATGGTCATTTTGCTGTATAAAACCATTACAAGCTAAATTATTTGCTATTTTTAAGCTCAGATACTTATTGTACACGTTTCATATTTTATGTTAAAACGCATCAGAATTATATGTAGGATGGATATCTCTTAAACTATTAATATTTTGATTAATTTACTTAAATATTTTTATATGCTTGTAACAATACATAATAAGAAAATGTTATTGGTTAAACAAAAATTAGATGAAAAAAAAATTATTTCTATTAAAGATAAAACATGACATTATTGCTCTCATATTTCTTTCTAAAATTATACATACATGCACACATGTATATTTGTTTATATGTACATTACTTACTTATCTTTTATCATTTATAGGAAAAAAGGATGATATATTATCACCTTCGAGTAGATTGATGTTAGGACAACCGTGTAAATCCGGAACTGGGGCATTTTCTATTTTACCATCATTGTACAACATGTAAAAATAATAAAATTCGATGTTCACATTGTGATTCATAATTATATTTTATATATTTGTAAGTTCATCATACATTTTAGCAATAAAATCCATGGAAATTTTTTCATTATTGAAAAATAATGGTGCTTCAATCTTTTTCATTTACAATGCGTGTACAATGTGTAAACAATACAAATTATTCTTTTCTATTTAAATAGCCATTCTATGTTAATTATATAAAATAATAATTATAGCTAATTCAGTATATCATTTTTACAGTTTTTAAGAATACGATATATTTAAACATTCGTGACGATTTATTTATTTATTTGTGTTTTTGAATTGTATTTTTTAATTTATCGTAATTTGCACCAGAAAAAGTCTCCAACTGAAAGCATTAATCAATTTCATTTGATTAGTTATGAAATATAAATAGCTAAATTATTTCATTATTTCTTTTTATAATATTAAAGCGAGAATTTTTAATATTTAGATAAATATTTTATTCGAATTTAATACATACCACTTTGCCTTCCTTTATAAAAACAAATGTAGGCATACTGGATATCTCGTATTCAGCAGCAATATCCTCACATTCGTCCACATCAACTTTAAGGAAAACAACATCCTGCATTTCCTATATAAATAAATCAAGATATTCTTGTCTTAAATTTCAATAAATCCATTAAAACTTGATTTAATAAAAAATTAATGTGATGTATATAAACCTTTGATAATTCTTCAATCAATGGTCCAATCATCTTACATGGTCCACACCATACAGCAAAGAAATCGATAACTACCAAATTATTGCCTGCATCTTTAAGTTTAATCTTCAAGTCATCCTATTAAAAAAATGAATATATCAGTTCCTTTTTATGAAATATATATTTATTAATTGATGTGAATAGGAAGTACATAAATTGAGAGAAATGTATTGTTTAATTTAAAGTATTATATGACAGAGATGATTAAATGAAATGGAAAGACACAAAAGAAAAATTATTATAATTAAAATTGCTATTCAATGATAATAATACACATATTTATTAAGTGAACGTAAATAATCGTACAAATAAAAATTGTAATGCAAATGTTTATTCGTCTAGTAGGAAGATACACAGATAGCTATGTATATGTATATATCAGGGAATGTAAAGTTACTAGTTAAAAAAGTAACAAGTTACAGTTATTTGTTATCGAGTAGAAAAACTAACTAGTTACAGTTACTAGTTACCGATTTTTAAAAGTAACTCATTACAGTTACCGTTACTTGAAAAAGTAACTTTTCGTTATTTTTCCGTTATTTTTTTTAAATCGACGACCACTAATCACAGCAGACGAGTGCTTGGGAGCTTTCCAGTCTCAAGCGCTATGAGTGTCTATTTATCTAATCGAACCATGTCCAATCGTAGAGATGTAAACGAAAAATTCTAGAATTTTAGGGTAAAAAACTCGGGAAATAATGGTTTTTTTTCCTTCGGCTTTGACAGTTTTTTTACTCGAATATTTTTTTTTAACATTTCACGATTTCTACTATTGTTCCAGAATTTAGTTTTTGCACTTATCTGTAAGATTTCTGTGTGAAAATAGTTACAAAGTTAAAATATAGTATAATGTCGATGACTATAAATATACCTTACCTTTCACTATTATTTGAATGACATTTTATATTGTACTTCAATTTTAAAAGTTAAGTAAGTGTTCCATACTTGTATTATTAATGCAAATAATACTTTACTGGACTAATTGACACTGTTTTTGTCATATACTGTGATTGTAATTATACATATTCTAAATTTAAATTATAGTGAGACAACGTTCATCGAATCTCTAATTAACTACGCTTGAATCAATATTATATTGGAATGTTGTCTTAAAATAATTAAAATATAGAGTACAATTATAACCAATATGCAACAAAACAGTATCTATTATGCTTATAAAGTATTATCTGTATTAATAACATCACTTATTTAGATATATAGCTTTTAAATATATAAATTTAAATATTAGCTTTTAAATATATAAAATATCTGTCGTTTCAATAATTATATTGAAATAACTTCTTCATGAATTTTATGTAATTTGATAAAAATTACCAAATTTGTTATTTACAATAAAAAAAACTAGTTTTTTACTTGATACTTTTCTCCGAAGTAAAAAATACGTTTTTTTTTACATCTCTATCCAATCGTAAAATTCGTTACCGTTACAGTTACCAAAAAGAAAAAGTAACGCAGTTACCAGTAAAGTTACCCAAAAAGTAACTAATTGATCAATTATAGTCGAATTCGAGGGGAATAATGGACTATGATTCATCCATTTCTTATGACTTGAGACTTAAAACCCTGTTGTAGATCCGGGGTAATGAACTTTCGTTAGTAAATCTACATGGAAAAGAAGTTAAAAATATGTCTTTTTAGGAAGGTTTCCTTTACTGTAAAAAGATGATAAATTCAACATTATATCCATGTCAAGCTTGTATTGACCTGGGCGGATGACAATTTGAAATGTAAGTTTAGGTAAAATTGTTTTCTTTACAAATTTTATATTTTTGTTATAACTTTTTAATGAAGCATTTGAAGACCTACATACGTTTATATATATATATATATATATTATAATATTTTTATTTTTCAATATATGCTTATCTTTAGGAAATTAAATTGTACTTTACAAACGCTGATTTTATCAAAAATCTGTATTAAATATTGTTTTTGAACATTAATGACCTTATTATAAAAGTGTATTCTAATATTGAAAATTCACTGCCAATATTGAAAATATATAATTCACATATACTTATATTACAGATTTTCAGTATTAGCAGTGACTATTGGAATACAGCTTAAGGGTACATTCCATTACGCTCTCTCCGAAGAAAATTTTACTCGAAATGTATATATACAGGGTGAGTCATTTTAAGTGACAGATCCAAATATCTCCAAAAATACGCCAGATACAAAAAAATGGTTTAGACAAAAATTGTAGAGGACAACGGGGGACATCTAACTGTGCTAAC